GGTTCCTTGAATATCTCTCTGAGTAGTGGCTGGTTTTCTATTAAATGCCATTTTTCCATTAGTATGTTTTTCAAACCTGGTAATGACGGTTGAAATTGCGTGACAAAGGGTAAAAGTATTTTTTGCGCTTTCTGTTTTTGTGTCAGAGCTGTCGCTCTATCTGCATATTTAACTTCTGAGAGGATCTTTTCTACCATACTCTCTGGGTAGCCTCTCGAGATAAGGCGTGTTTTAAAGTTTTTAATATTCTTGTCAAATATGACTTTAGAAGAGTTAGTTCTTAGAAGTCTAAGAGCCTCTCCTTTGACAAAACCTTTTTTAACGCCTGGTGGGTGGCAACTGTTAAAGTTAGTGTACTGAAACGTTTCAGTAGATTTAAAATGTGTGCGCACGTCGAGAATTCTTTCTTTCTCAAATCTCTCTCCCTTATAGACTGTCGTGTCCAAGAATGTGGTTTCAATTTGTGATATTTCAGCAGTGAACTTGATTGTAGGATGAAAAGAATTGGCTTGCTCAATGAAAAGATCTATATCTTCTTTGTTTGTGTCCCACAAAGAGAATATGTCGTCAATAAACCTTTTCCACGTTAGTGGTTTCCTTCTGCTTTGTTTTAAGATCTCCTTTTCTATTGTTGCCATAAAAATGTTGGCAAAAGCTACTGCCATTTTCGTGCCCATAGCAGTTCCGTGAGTCTGGAGATAGTCTTTCCCATTGAAATGGAAAGAGTTCTCTTTAAGGATAAGACTGAGCATTTCTTTAAGCAGGTGTGTAGCTATAGGAGGGTTTTTGTCATGAAATTTTTCGTATGCGTTGCATACTATAGTAATTCCTTCCTCCTGTGGGATATTCGTGTAAAGGCTGGTGACATCCATTGAGACTAAGAAAGCGTTACTAGGCACCCTAGTGTTTTCGATAAATCTTATAAAATGTGTCGTATCTTTAAGATACGAGTCTTGTATTTGTGCTATTGGCTGAAGTAGCTTGTCTACAAATGATGAGAGGCGTTCTGTGGGGCCATCGCACCCCGAAATGATAGGTCTTCCAACTAAAGTCGGTTTGTGTATTTTTGTGAGAGTGTAGAATACTGGAATTCGTGGCGGATCTGGTGTCTGGTTAAACCATTTTACTGTCATTTCGTCAATGAAACCTTCGTTATGTAGAGTGTTAATGAGGTGTTTAACTCTCTGGGATGTGTCCTTAACCATTGGTTTTTCCAAAGGTTGATAGTTGTTTCTATCATCCAACTGTTTTTGTCCCTCATTTATTTTGTTCTCTCTTTTCATTATGACGGTTGTTGTGCCTTTATCTGCTTTCTTAAGGATTATTTCTTTGTTTTGAATAAGTTCACGGAGCGCTCGGCGCTCCCCAGGCGGCAGATTGTTTTTAGGTTTATTTAGTGGCACTTCTGTTAGCCGTAGTTTGACTTCCTCTAAATAGGATTCTAGAGCAACTGACCGTTGAACTGGGGGAATCCAACTAGACTTCACATGGAAGGGGTGTGGTACAGTATCTTTGCCATGATAAATGTATTTGAGGCGCATCCTTCTGGCAAATTGGTTAAAGTCTGAAATTAGTTGGCTCCTTATCTGGTTTTCTTTCATGACAGGAGTTGGAATGAATTTCAAACCCCGAGAGAGTAAATTGATCTGCTCTGTTGTTAGTTCTGTGTCTGAGAGGTTCTTAATGTGTTTTTTGCGTGTCTCTATGGCTTCGTTATATAGCTTAATGTGTTTGACATTTTTCCGCTTTCTTCTCCTGTGATTTCTTTCAGTGAGTGTTTTACTATTTATCCCCTTCTCTTTTCCCTTGTTAGAAACAGAGAGAACACTGGGATACGATTCACTTTGTTTATTCTCAATATCAGTAAACTTTGACATCATTTGTGAGAACTTGTCGAACTTAGCTTGGAGGTCTGATGCTAACTTAATTACATCAGTGCTTTTCATTACATTGTTTTCTCTAGTCGCCGATGGCGTCTTATGCTCTCTAGTTTGAACAACATTGGTCGCTTTCCTGAAGTGAGGCTTATCCTTCTCAACCTTTTTTCGTTTGTTCTGAAGACGATCAATGCGTCTTTGGTGAAACTTCGCTAACGAGTGAATGAACTCTTGTTCGGCAGTTTTTCTAATCGAGCCTATTTCTCGTTTAAATTCTTCGTCTGGCGTGATATTTGCACGCACGTTGTATCTTAGTGTCTTTGGACATGTTCTGTCCTTCATGTGTTTTCTCAGTTTCGTGATGGCTGTCTCTGATTTTTCAATCTTTGTCTCTAAGGAGGCGGCTTCGGCGGCTCTGCGTGGTGTTTTGCCGTTATGGGTCTGATCGTTAGATTGGTCCCGTTTTCGTTTTCTATCGTTATGGTACTGTTCTCTAGGAACTCTTGTTGTCTTCTGGCGGGTAGGTTGAGAGTCAGGTATAGTTTCAGAGTCGTCAGTAATGGCGCTTTCGTTTCCTTCACCTTCTGTCTCGTCAAGGAGTAGATTTTCCTCTTCAGCGTCCATTGGAGACTCATCTGTTTCTTCTGGCTGAGGTGGTCTAAGTTGACCGTCTTTGGTGAGAATTGAATATTCCATATGTAGATGTAAAAGCTGAAGCAAGACTGCAGTTTCGATTCTACTAGGGAATCTCGTCAGTTGCTAGAGGTATATCTCATGGATAGTGGTAACGTAAAGAGGTTACAGCCGTTTATATAACGCTTAACGGATCGAAAATGCGCGCCTGTTTTTCTATTGGTCCATAGATTCTGGCCAATGACGTGAGTCTTTTGCAATTTCGATCCGACATACAGTTGTGTTTCTATAGAAGGCTTTCTCGTCAGTATTTGAACAATGTAGGTTATTGTCCTCTCTGAAAAGTACATAGACTTTATAAGTAAATATTACTATTCAACATTTCCAAAGATGAAGATCTGAATATTCGTATGTACTGGGTACATTTACTTCTTTTGTATCATTGTACATGTTCAAATTCTGATTGTCTGGCACGTCGCAGGACGGGGTCATGTCTAAAAATATCAAGCATGGTAAAATGGGGTTGACAGACCTGCGCGGCTCCTGCTGTGTGACCGTTGTGTTGTTATAAGCCTTTACAGTTTTGCTTTAACAAGCATGTCTTTAAGCGACTTTCCTTTTCTATAAGAGATCAAGGGAGGTTCCTTGAATATATCTCTGAGTAGTGGCTGGTTTTCTATTAAATGCCATTTTTCCATTAGTATGTTTTTCAAACCTGGTACAAGTTTTTGCTTTGCTGGGTTCTGGGCTTACGAGGGCGATCTTCACTTTAGAGGCTGTAAGATGAAATTTAGTCTAGCAGGATGCCATTTCTGCATGCAGACTAAGAACTAGGTGGTGGAGCGGTAGTAACTGGGGTGAACATGGAGTGAAAAAAATTACTTCCTTGCATCAGGAGTGCGGTCAAAAGCATGGCATGGCCGGGCTTGCCAGGAAACCGTGGTCTGGAAAAGCCTGGTAAGCTCAGTCAAGGTCAGGGTTTTGAGGTAATCCTGGCCATGGAAGTGTGGCTTTTTGGGCCACACTAAAAAATAGACCAGCATTTCATGCCCTTCCTGGCCAGAAAACCAGAAGCCGGGAAAGCCAAGAATTCCTGGCCATGTTCTACAAGTGACAGCAATAAGAACTAGCAACAATTTTTTTTACAGTATTTCTAGCTATTTATTATTATGACAAGCAGAAATGCATTTTTTACAGGATCAATACCAAAAGTTCCATAGGTAAATAGAAAATACAGAGTTTTAAGAAATTAGTGCAAGAAAGGGAAAAACAGATCATAAGGCTACAATAAGTCCACTACTCTCTTTCCACAGAGTTTGGCGCTCTAGCAAAAAAAAACTTTTTCTTTAATAGCAGCGATACTAAATTATGCATATATAGAAAATAATCTGAAAAATAGTCTTAAAATATATTTTCACTGTGGAAACCGCCTTTTATGTAGCAGCGTTACAACAGTTCAAGAGGGCCAAAATCCCACACATTCACTGCAATGTTAGCCATGTTTGCCCCCCAGCCCTGCTGTTGGTGATACTGTAGTTAGTGGTGACACTGGAGCTGGAGATGACGCTGTTGTGGGTTGAGTGACTTTAACTGGTGGTGCAGATACCATAGTTGGTGGTGACACTGTTGTGGCTGGTGTTATTGTAACTGGTGGTGATGCTGTAGTTAGTGGTGACACTGAAGCAGGAGGTGATGCTGTTGTGGGTTGAGTGACTGTAACTGGTGGTGCAGATACCATAGTTGATGGTGACACTGTTGTGGCTGGTGCTGACACTGTTATGAGTGGTGTCACTGTAACTGATTGCTTCACTATAGTGGGTGATGATACGGATGCAGCTGGTGGTGACAGTTAAGTTGTTGGTTGCACTGTAGCTGGATGTGACACTGTTGTCGCTGTAACTGGTGGCGATGCTGTAGTTGGTGTTGGGACAGTAGCTGGTGGCATCACTGAAGTGGATGATAATGTCACGTTAGTGTGTGGTGTTAATGCAGATTGATGTGCCACTGTTGCAGGTGGTGACACTTCAGCTGTGGGTGACACTGTAGAGGGTAATGTAGCCTTGATTAATCCAAAATCTGTAGAAACAGATGGTGAAAAGTATTTCTATATCTCAGTGTCTGATAGCCTGTGGCTAGTGGATTTTGCGATCGGGCTTGTGGATTTACTAGCCCAATGGGCAAGTGAAAGGTTTTAAGGAAATTTAAAACGGCCACATAGAATTTCAGTTTAGTACCTCTTTGATTCTGGTAAAACAGGTAAACTGAAGACTATTTTTAACTAATGGTGTAATAGACTAATAACAGTAATTAGTAATGAGATTAATCCTACTTCCGAAAAAATTTAGGACCAGTTGAAATGGCATTGGGGCTATTACATGCTAGTTGCAGGTTGCCTGAAGGGCAGGCTTTTAAAATTTTTTTTTGTTGCGCCCTGAGGAGTATCAGAAGTTCATATAGTGTGAAGTACCGGCAACAGCATCTGTTGATAAAATTTGTTGATTATTAAAACATCTGTAGACCAAGAATTTTTGTATAATAGCAAATAATAATTTTTTTTCATGTGGATAAGTAACACAAATTGGAGAGTAATAATAATATTATTATTACATGTGACAAATTCCTCCCATGCTTCTGGTCCAAACACACTGCTTTTAACAAAAATGCAGCTCTTAAAAGATGTGCTGTCTTTGGCTTCTTTGGCTCTGGAAATGGTAGATCCAATCCCATCCAAGCCCATGGTTCTTTATCTCTTCCTTGAGGCGGCCTTGGGGTGCCAGAGTGTCCAAGCCATGATTGGAGAGCATTGCAAGGAAAGGACCCAGCGCCATAGCAATTCCATTGCATTTTATTCCCTCTTGATCAGGTGTCTTTATTTTGAAGGTAATGCAAGGGTTGATGCAGGTCAAGAGCTGAAACCAAAAATATGTATATATTGTAACTAGTTGAAGAACAGGGACTGGGTGGGTGGTGGGTTTAAACATTTACCAAATGCCCTTCTACGACTGAGAGGGTGGGATTATTTATCATTATTCACAACTATCAATTTTAATTTAAATAATTTATGATAGTTTATAATAATAATGTATAATAAATGTACGTGTGGTCACTGCTTTGGTGTTTATTCCCTTTAGCCATCTGTGTGGAACTTGTGGTTTTTCACAAGGAAGAAAAGAACAACGACCATTTGTAATAGTAAAGCCAAGGAAAAAAACAGACAAATAAAACACCTTGAAATAGAAATGCACTATCCTATCTATTGGAATTGAACCCATTCAGTGTGGAATCCACGTGAGAAACAGCAATACTTTGCAATTTAGCTGACCCATGATACTAAATTGTTAAATTCTGCTGGCCTCCATTATTAATGAGACAATGAAAGGCCCTCCATCTTCAGTGCTGGCACCATTTCCCTGCAACTTTGTTTGGTACTTTTTTATACACATTGGGTAAATGGTATTTTCAAGGTACTCTTCTAGTATTTTGGTGTCAACAATTTCTTCATCATCGATGATATCGATAAGCTGCAAAAGAATGATGAGGTAGTAGTACTCTAACTCAGATTGTCATAAATTTTTTTAATATTTAATGATATCTTGATTAATGATTAAAGACAATTTAATTATTATGACCTTGATAATGTTCTGGTTTGGGGTGCTTATAGCATTGAATTATTTTTAGTTGGTGGGTTCGACTGGAGGGGGTTAGTTTAATGTATTAATAATATTGCATTAAATGCAATAAGAAATTTTCTTATCCACCAGTATTGATCATTCTCCATAGCATAGTGTTTAAGACCAAGAATGAGGCACTTGATGCGACTGAAATTTTTATTTGTTTATCTGGGTTTTTACAGCAAAAAGTAATCAAATTGTGTCTCTTGTAGTCTACTTGATCTGACTTTTCCTTTTGGAGGCCTTTTTTTTTAGCACCCATGCAGCAACTTTGGAATAATCTCCCTTTACTTTTGATTGTAAAAGACCGGCCATCCCTAACACAAGTTGTTGACAGACCCCTTTTGAATCATACCCCACTTTTTAGGAGACGTAAATTACTAGGCCCTCATTTGGAACTTCTAATGGTGGCCACTTACTTCTACTCTCATTGTCAAAAGGAGAGAGTAATTTTCCAGCACCCTGTCGTTGATGTCCATGAATTCCTCTGCAAAAAGTGCTTTTATCTCCTTACTCTGGTTTGAAACAGTGCAGATGTTGATGGCAATTAATGCTTCCAGGGCCCTGGGAGCATTTGCCAGCTGCTCTTGAAGCCTTTCTTCAGCCTTTAATTGGGCCTGGAGTCCACTGGGGCTTCTGGGCCCCACAACAAAGGGGATTACAAGTGGCTGGCAATCCTGTTGAAAAGTTAACGATATTAGGTTGTTTTTCTTTTAATTTCTGAAGACCACAATATAGTGTGTCTGTTGGAAGAGGGCGTCCGTAGAGCAGTGTAAAATAGATAATTTCAGCATAATGTATTATGAACGTTTAATAATTATGTAAGTTACAGAGGAAAAATTTCATGACTGCATTATCAACTTTCAGATGGTTGGCTCAATACATTATGTGACCGGTATTAGTTGAAATGCCAGTACTAATTGGTTTGAATATTTAAACCTGTTGGATATGGAACTTAATTGCATTCATATTTAGCATAGCTATAATCCTGAGGAAGCCCCTCCAGAGCTTCCCAGTTTACTGTTACCACGGGGTAAGTCTTCAGTGACATTTCACGGCTACAGGTGCCATCCTTGCCTCCATCGAAGTATGCTAAGGGAAGCTCTCTGAGCTGATGGGTGTTCTTTATATCATCCAGCACGGGGGGAAAGGTTGTCGTGGAGCAAAGACGTGGAACAAAACGTTCCTGTGCTTCTGTTGTCCATCAGATGGAGAGCTACTCTAGCAGTTTTTGTTTCAACCAGTCTGTGTTCACCACAAATAACTGCGATTGGAAAATGTTGGCCTGCTTCTATAACTGATTCATAGTGGAGGCCTAATGTACTGCCAGCTGCAGAAAAAAAATAAAGGAAAAAAAGGTACATTATGCAATTACTTTCTTCCTTGTTTGTCAATGTGTATTAGTGTTTGTAGATGGTAGTACTTCCAACAATCATAATGGCAAACTATCATTTGACCTGCAGACCCTAAATCAAAAGACTTCCTGCCATCTCTCGAGTTGCTAAGTTTGAAATCCTTAGTAACATTTTAATTGCTGACAACCGTGTAAAAAGTTCTATATACTCATGTGTTTTGAGGTGCAGGTGGATGCACTGTAGTTGTTCTCTGATACAGCACAATGTACCTAATTTATGGATAGGTAATTGCATGATAAATTGCATGATATCTTATTAAGTTATTAAATGTTTTAGTGGATGCATAAAAGCTTTACAAAAACTTGTTAAGGGGAATGACCTCAAACTAATAGTTACAGATGCAAGCAGCTGATAGATAATAATTGATATCGAACATTTTGTTACCTACCCACTGCTAAAAAACATGCTATGAAGTTGCCTTGCAGGGTCTCCTTTAATCCGCACAAAACATGATTTAAGACTTTTGGTGTGAATGAATAGATGACCTCCTGAGTCTTTACATTGTCATTAAAGAGGTCATCTATCCACACAAACTCCTTGTCTTCCTCTGGGACAATGTCACCTTTATTGTCGATCTGAACGGACTCGTTGATGACCCAGACTTTGGAACCTTCTTGTCTGCCAATTTTTTCTGCAGCTTTGTAAGTTTTCCCCCAGTTTTCATTTTAACAGTTTCTGTTCAGAAAGAGATAAAATCTTTTAAAAAAATTAGACTTTGATGTTATTTTGTCACTGGTTCCATAAAATATCCATGACCCCAGCAAGGAAGGTTATTGAAAATTCTAAGAGCTGGGGCAGATCCAGTAGGGGGGGGGGAGGGGGGTTCGGTTTAACTGTTAACTAAAACAGCTTTTTCACCTCGTCATCTATTCACTCATGAGAAACTGTGGCAGACTGTCAGAATTTTGTAAGTGGAGCTAAGTTAGAACTTAATTGTTGCTAAGTATGTATCTTCAATAGGGGTCTTATGGTAATTATAATAATTATTTAATTACGTTAATTTGTAATTTATTTATAATTAATATAATATTTATAATTATAGGTAATTTATTTATATTATCTTCAGATGGAGATTAAGTACGAATAAGGTATTTTCCTTTTGTTTAAAGCTCATTATCATACATTACCATACCCAAAACCAAAAGAGAATAAAATTTAAACTAAGGATACAATTGAATCACAACATTAATAAAGGAGAAGCAGTGTTAGAAGTAAACATGTGAAGTCCTATGATGATAAAGTAAAAAAAAAATATCAAAAGCTTAAAAATAAAATCCATATAATGGCATCTCTCGCTCTCTATTATGGGGTGTTTTCCATTTATATAAATGTTCAATAAAAATTGCACTCTATCTTAAGCAGTCACAAGGCTTACTTCATCAGCTTTGAATATTACCTACAATAAATGGTGACAAAAAACATGATAATTCTTGTGAAGTGTCCGTCAGCTTTCATACACAAGTTTACTGAGCATCCTTGAATAAAATCCCATTTTCCCAGAGCAACAACATCCCATTTTACTTTCAGCAACCCCACAATGAATTGAGTGTAGCAACCTTCCTAGCAAACAAATCAGCATATTTACCAATAAACAGCTGCATGTACCTCATCACAAACAACCGCAACGATTTTCTTCTGGTAAAACTGCATAGAGTACTTTGACCGGAATTTCTTCTCCCCAGTGAATGATCGCAGGCTTCTGTACAAAAGAGAATGCTCCCTCTCTGTTCAATATTTCTCGATTTTTCATTTTGTTTTCCCCTATGTAACTGGCCTGAGTTCCTTTTGACCTCAAGTACTTGACCTGGTCCTTACCAATTGACATGAGAGGTGAAATTACTACGGCCAATGGATTACTAGGGAATTCATAACCTTTTAACGATTTTAATACTCCAGGCAACAGTTGGAAGGTTAGACTCTTTCTGAGAACCGTATCCACTATCTTCTCAATGATAAATCTTTGTGCCGCTTTTAGCTGTACCACAGAAAACAAAGACAAGCCTTCTTCAAGCGCTTGCCAGAGGTCTCCCTCAAATCTTAAGTTAACATTTCTATCGACTTCGGCCATACACTATTAGTATGGTCAACTGCGGTAAGCTTAAGTTTTGTAAAGAGTGTTGTCGCGCAAAAGCAAGAAGGTGCATGCATTGCAGCTGGCTGGCATTTCCCATGATCAATCAACGTAGTTGCGTGGCCCGTGCAACAAATTTTCATGCTGTAGAAAGTATGAGAAGATAGAAAAAAGAAAAAACATACAAAAGGCTCACAGTATATGTGGAGTATATATGTAAGAGGTTCTGTAACTGCAGTGTAGGTGATGTGACAATTATTATTACACACTTAAATACTGCCATACGTTAATTCAACTTATGACACATTAATCTATTATTACCGTCTTAATGAC